ATTTTTTTGAAGGTCTCCCAAAGACTATTAGCAGAAGAAAGTTCACATCAGCTTCTTTTTCCTGCAAACTCATTCGAAAGGAAGAGACCAGAAGAAACTGCAGAACCGATACTTCATATTATAGTCTGATTTTTGTTTTAGAGGTGAACTGATCATTTCTGCACCATAAGGAGCAATCTATATTGCATAAATAATGATTTTTTTTGAAGGTCTCCCAAAGACTATCCCCAAATTTTGGTTAAGATCAAAACTTAAGATATAAGTTAAATGCTAAATGCTTAAAACGTTTTAACACATTTCCCGAATTTTCTGCTTTCTCAAGATTTGCTGGAAATAATGAGATTAATTGTGATTGTAATTTAATTGTATTAACATTATTTTATTGACAGCTGTTTTTGACAAAATCAAATCTTTCTAAAGTTTTGTAAAAAAATAAAAAAAATTTATTTATTTATTACTTTCAATTGTATTCCATTATTTATTTCTACTTTTTTTGTAATTCACGGGTGGGTTGAATGGCTTTTCTCTTTGTAAAGTGTACTATACTACGCTATCGTCGGAGCAAGGAACAGTTGGAACAGTTACCTTATTGAATTTTCATACTCTATAAATTGGTCTTAATATAAAATATCAACTGTATTTTACATACATTTCAAAATATACAACAAAAAGGCCAAAAAACATATTTGCAAAAAATATGTTTATGTAAAAATATTTTCTACCAATATATTTTTGGCCATTTTTGCATGTGTGTGTGTGTGTGTATATATATATATACTTTAAAAATATAAATATATTTTTTAAAAGGATTTAAAAATATATTTTGCCCTTTATTTCAATATTTCTATCCATGAAAATACGTTCACATTGTAAATCATTCTGAATCATTATAAATCTGGTTTATAAATAGGTTATTCCATCCACATTTGCATGTGAAAACAGTGAAGCTCTGTTTACAACATATGTTAAGCATTTCTTGTTTTGGTCAGAAAATGCTTTTTAGCATGTTGACAGCACATTTTTCATTTTTCACATTAAATATTGTTTCAACACTATACTTTACAAAGTGTAGTGCCATTTAACCCCCAGTGAATTATAGAAACAAATAAATAATACAAATTCAAGTACATATAAATAAATTAGAAAGATTTAAATTTAGAATAATTTTTTGAAGATTTGAGTAAAATTTGTATTGCTTTTGGAACAATATAAATGTCAACTCTCATTAATTTTACACTTTTTTTTTCATATTGGAAAAATGTTTCTTTATGCACAAAAGGTTACTTTTATGTTTTAGGAAAAGACAGCCTGATCTCATAAGAAAACTGTTTCAAAGCATTTCCAAGGGGCCATTATATATATATATATATATATGACGGTAACATTTCTCATTTCCATTTAGATTTAGATGTACTTATATAACTATAGCTAAAACTGAAATTGCAATTAATAAAAAATATATAGACATTAAAAAACATAAAATGACAAAAACACAGAATCACAAAGGTTTCAGGGAAAATTACGGTGAAAACAAGAAATTTAAAAACAATCAGAATGTTAATAAAAATTATAATGGTGTCTCAAATGAGACTACAATAACATTTTAAATAAATAACGCTCTCTCTCTGTATATATACATACATATTTAAGTCTGTACAGGTTTGCTGATCTTTACAGAAAAGGTTGTTTTGCAATTTCAGTGTCGTGATCAAATTATTAGCAGATTGAAGGTCCAGATGAGGACACGTCTGCTAATTACACCGTTTGGCTTTTAGCCTCATGGATATAATTGACACTTTTTTGTGTCTCTGTGGTTGTCAGCAGGGAAAAGGCCAAAGCAAACAAATCAGTCTCCAAGATTCTTGTGTTTTCCCTGCTTGTTCCAACTGTTGAAACCAAATAAACTGCAAACAGCTGTTTCTCACATCTCATTCATTATTTAAAAGCCTCCCAGTAACCGCTGTGCTAATCACCTGTAAATACGGTCCAGTGAACTCAACGGGTCTCTAATAAAAATCTAACACCTTGGAAAAGTCTTCACTGTGGTGATAATAGAGCTGTGCACACTTATATGAGGAGATTCTTAGGTTTGATTTCCAGCTATGAGTTTGCCACACATCTCTATACTTCGTGCCAGACAAGACCACCCCAGAAACCATGATTACAAATACTCCCTGAATAGAACAAATGGAAACTGCTAACACAAATCTATTTGAGGTCCAGACCCCTAATATGAACTGCTCAAAGAAAGTTAACATGGGGGGGCCCTGTATTAAGTCTTACAAGAATATTTATTTTTTAATGGTTTCGGATTCCAAAATATTAATTTATTTATTCATATGAAATGGTGAATGAATCATGTATTTATGTGAGCTGTGTAAATTATACTAGAGATATAAAAAGGAACAATGGTTTAACAGCTCCTCCTTGTGGCCACAACAAGAACTCACCACAACGTACATGGTCTACATGTGCGCAAGCTTCCACTACTCCAGGCTACATTATGAATATATTTTGATACTAAAGACAGAGAGTCAACATGCAGACTTGTGAGTCATAAACAAGTGAGGACCCAGGGCATTTTTCAGGACTTTTAATAAACAACAAAAGTCCATTTCATGTAGGCCAATGATTAAAATGTTAAAAATATTTAATAACATTCTAGCAAATTAGTTAAATAGTCTACAGCATGGCATTTCGTTGACCTCCAGTTCGCATGCTCACCAACAAGATTAAAGTAACTTAAAAATGATTTCGGCTGTCATTTTTAAGTAACCAACTAGCTATGTTTGCATGCGAGTGATGGACAGAGGAAGAGAGCTTAACTATGAAGAAATGTTATGTATTATACAGTGGAGACGGATATTTCTTCGTTCTGGGCATATTGGGGGAATTTTTATATTTAGAAATCAATTTTATATATATGCCTTTAAAGTTTTGACTATAAAAGCTGTCGAACATGCAGTGTATTGAACATGTTTCAGTAAGCTGTGAGAATGGAATTTAGACTATTAATGAGTTTTTAGGAAAACTGAATCGGTAAAACAATTACGAAACAGAACAATAGCTGAAACAGCAAATAGGCCGATGTAAAATCTAACTAATTAAAATATACCACTATTCTGGCCTATAGCCTTACTGTGATTAGTTTCATCGATTAACTCCTAGGTTTATTCCGGTTAACCTGTTCTGCATTTTTGTGCTTCTGGCAGCTTAAATGTGTTATTATTGCATAATTTCAATAAAATTGTCATTTTTAAAATGCATCTCATATATTCGTCCTGTGTGTCCTCTTAAGGTGTACATTTTTATTTTATTTTTAATTTTTGTTAACCTGACAACACATCACTTATGAAAATTAGCATGGTTTTACTAAAGAATTGTTTTTTTTCAAAATCTTGTTTAAATTTTTCAGAAAATCAAATGAAGGCATTAAAAATTTATTTGAAATCAAATTAAAATTAAAGGAAGAAAAACTGTGAATATGCCTTTAAAACATTTTTTTAATAGGCTAATAATTGTATTATTTTTTCTACAATTAAGTGATTCATCTGGTTGTAATATTTATTTTTATCATTTAATTGTTTTATTTAAATTTGATAGAAAATGGAATATTTAAAGATGTACATTATACAGTACAAAAGTAATACAAGAGTAATATATTTCTGTTACATGTTAAACCGTACTTTTATTTTGACAGGTTGCCATGAAGTTTCGGTGTGTATACAGTATGATGATGCTAGTTTTCTCAAATGAAATGGTAAAATTCTCGCGAAGTGTCTCTCACAGCAGCTCTGGAGCTCAAGTTCATGTGTTCACGTATAGTGAGACGCAGAGGCCGAAAGCGTGTGCGTCACATGTGCTTCAGTATTTGTGTAGTAAACAAAACTGCGTTTCCGCCACTAGTTCATATCGCGATTCTAATTAAGTGGCAGTGGCTACTTTTGACTTATTTGTCCAAAATTGACGAATTCCGTGGCATTCCACGCTATAGAGTAGGCTAAATTACGTTTTTATGAATGGACTCTGCGATCCCATCTGCGTTTTTTCGCATAAACCATATGGCCCTAAAAATGTAACCACACTTCAGAACATTTCGGCTTGCCCTGTGTGTTGTTTAAATGAGTTGCAGGGGTGACATCACGTCACAGGGTCTCTCTTTCTCTCTCTGTAGCTTATGCGCCCAGATGCGAAATTTGGCACCGATTGATTTAACGTGAATCGGTAGTACGAGATATATCCAGCTGCAGACCCGCAGCACCAGCAGTTTCAGAAAACATACTTGGTAATAAAGCTCTTCTGATTCTGATTCTGAACAAATTCAAGTTTCAATATAAGATAATAAAGCCAAGCACACGTTAAGTACTTAGCAGATAAATGCTTAACATAATATATACGATAATTATTAAACATATGATAGCAAAAACATTACAGACTACTCACCGTGCTCTCTCGTTGTCAATAACTCCGCCCCTCACTTCCGGTTCTATGGCTGCGGTTCTGAAACTGCTGGTGCTGCGGGTCTGCAGCTGGATACTATTGGGTAGTACCGACGCAATTCAGTCGGTACCTAACCCTAGTGTAGAGTAGCGCTTGTTGTTTGGCGTTTCTCCGATCACAAATGCAGACATGGTTTTATGTTTTTCGCGGCGCAGTGCAACACAACGCGTAAAAAGACAGTATAAGTCATTATAATCCGTAATTATGTCCCCACTGGATGCAACATAAAAATCGACGCGTTTCAGAAAGGCGGGGCATAGAGGAGAAACAATAATGTATAGTATGTGGAAAATCATGTGTTTTTTGAACCTTAAACCACATAGACATTTCATTACACCAAATACACAAAATAATGTTCTTTTTAGCAGCATCATATGACCCCTTTAACTTCTCCGGTAATATCAATGGTCTGACCTAATTCAAATGCGGCCAAAATTACAACAACAGTGCAGAAAAACAGCGACTTCAGAAAACTCAAACACAAAGAGTACACCCAGAGATTTTTAATTGTAATACATTTATTTGAGCAATATACAATATAAACACATCAAGCACTAGGGGACATATCAGGTCACAGTTTTGGGGGTCCCGTTAGTCTCCAGCCTTCCATTTGTCCAATCTTGGTGAACATAGCCAAAGTTCCCAAACCAAAACACGCTGTGGTACCTGTGATAGCACTGTGTGCTAAACGTAAAAAAACAACACCAGGAAACTTCTTTAAACTCTTCTTTAACAACAACAAATAAAGACACCAGTGACCTTGAATATTTATGAAAAACATATGAATATTGTACGTACTTCGTGCCCCGAGGAAAATACCTGAAGCACATCCACCGATGAAATAGTTGGTTGGGTCGTCAGGTGCTTCTCTGGCCTGTGCGCTAAGACAAGTGGCCATTCCAAAGATGGCGCCCATGGCGGCTAAAAGGGTTGCAAACAGGAAGTAAATTATTGAAGCAAGTTTGTGTGTTGCCATCTGATAGAACTGATTTAAACTAAAATCATTCCATTAATGTATCGACTGTTTTGATGTAACAAGTAAACAAGGCCAACACAAGCAACTGTAAAGATAGTACTTTTAACTTTTATTCAACTTTGTATGAAGTGCTGACAGAGCAAAAAATTATGGAAGATGAAGGTGAATCACAAAGACAAAGGCTGCATCCAAAATGGCATACTTCCCTTCTATATAGTTAGCGAAAACAACCTTCAGTAAAAAAATACTAGCATATCCAAATTCACAGAATTCATAAAATAGTAGACAAAAAGTCCCCAGAATTCTGAGGTGACGAGAGGATTTGTGGATGACAGTGATCTGACACAACTAACACTGGTAGGTCACATGACAATGACAACGAGGCGAATGTAGTACGTCTGTATTACATTCATTGTACATACATTATGGAATGTACATTTTAATGGTTACTAAGAAATTATTCAAAAGTAGTAGCTACTCAGAGCGCATGCAATTTCAGATGCAGCAAGTCTCACCAACACAAATTACCTTGATTTCACACACACACACACACACACACACACACAATGTATGGGAAACTCAATGGTACACTTTTATGCATTATATTTTTTTCATCATAACATTTTCACAACATTTAAGGACACTTTCCCATTCATTCTCACTCATTTCTTAGAGAGAGAGAGCGAGAGAGAGAGCGAGAGAATGCGAGAGAGAGAGAGAGAGAGAGAGAGAGATAGATAGATAGATAGATAGTGTTTACATTTCTACAGATATCCCCTACCATGAACGGGACCACAGCTTATGTGTCTTACCCATGGTGACGGTGCCTGATGTTGCTCTGGTCAAAGCCTCAACAGCTGTTTCAGGTGGAAATGCCACAATGTGGTAAGCAGAACCTACCAGCCCTGCAGAACAACAACAGTAGTAGTAAAGCACATGAAGCTTTGCTTAATAAAGCAGGCCATTCCTGGTGACATCTGCATCATTATGGGAGTCACACAAACAACGCAAGTAGGTATGAAACAAATCAACGATTGGAAAGTGATAGCAGCCCTGGATGTCATTTTACATTCACAAAACAATACACGCCGACGCCACTTTATAGTAAGATAAACCAACTAAGTCGAAAAATATGAATATAACACGATTATAAGAATAGCGCGCTGATATGTTATTCACTATTTCACTAGCTAGTGTACATGCTAACAGCTTAGCCTTTAGAGCGCATAAACAATGCACATGTTAAAACCCACGCTCAAAGGATCCGTTAGAAACCCTAGAATACAGACATACAGCAGACTAACCGATGGCAGTGGCTATTTTTGTGGTGATCCATGTTTTGGCAACGCAGTCTTTGCCCTCTTCCAGGTCCCAGTAGCCCATTTCTGCATCAAGGACACGACTGGAATATCGCGAGAGTTATTCTTGAGTTTATTGGCGGTTGGTGCACAAAGAACTGTGCGTTACCGCCACCAACTGCTATGGAGTGTGTGAACCACATTTCCTTCTCCCTTTAAAAAAACTATATCCTCTCACTCAATTTAGTTTCTCTAAGATAATGCAGTGATAGGCCATAAAATGTATCTTTTGAGCTAAAGCTTCTTCTTGACCTCATTCTTCTAATGATGTTGTGGATCTATTCGCGTTCACGTTCTTTTCGCCCCCCGTCGGCGTGGTGTGGAACTGCAACGCCATCCTCCTATCCGATTATACACGATCCAAGGTTATTAAAGTGAACTATAATTAAACCATAAAAAGTTACTTGAAACACAACAGAAATACTACAACTTTAATTGGAATCAACATGAATGCAGAAAATATAAAAATAAAATCTAGCTCAAACATTAACAAAAACTATAATAGTATTAGTATCTCAGTGATACTAAAATAACTATGATATCTTGATTTAATGTTATACATTTACATTTAGTCATTTAGCAGACGCTTTTATCCAAAGCGACTTACAAAGAGGACCGTGAAAGCAATCAAAATCAACAAAAGAGCAATGATATGCAAGTGCTATAACAAGTCTCAGTTAGCTTCACACAGTACACATAGCAAGGTTTTTTTTTTTAAATAATATAATAAATAAAAAGATAACAGACAGAATAGAAAAAGAATAGAGCAAGCTAGTGTTAGAGGTATTTTTTGCTTTGGTTAATTGTATAATAAACGAAAAGAAAATATGTAGTTATGCATAACTACAGGTATTAGCTAAGCACAAACAAGTTCAAATTGCTGGTTTTATTTTGCCATCAGCTGTAACAACTTATATGAAAAAGAGAGAGAAAAGAAAGAAAAGGGAATCTTCTGAAAGGTACACTACAAAAAAAGAGAAAATAACCTAAAATATACACTAGCCTACAGCTTACATATAGCCTAGTTTTTTGTTGATCCCAAATCCTTGATTTGATGTAAAATGAACGATATTCTATTGGCAACACATTAAATCTTAAAAGTACAAGTAAATAAATAAATAGCCTACACATACATTTCCCTGTATGAACCCGGATTTCCCTGAATTAGGTGACTATGTAATTTATGTAAATATGTCTTTAAATAACTTAATTTGATCATTTAGATATTATTTTTAATTACTGGTACAATTAACTTTTTTTTTTTGTTTTTTTTTTACACAAAACGTAGGCTAAATGAAACGGGTAAATTATAAAACGTATATTATAAAAACTGAGTTATCAGCACATTAATATTATTATAAGTAATAATAAAAAGGGCCCAAAAATCAAAAGATATGTACCCAATTTGTTTGGAGCCTCGCAAGGAAAGTGCATTTTGTAATCACTGCTGTCTCTCCGTTTCGGTGACTCTGATTGGCCAGCGGCTCCAAATATCATTTCCGGGTCAGCAGCTACAGGTTGCTATGAAGTTGGTGCAGATGACACGTCAGCTGACTGGAAAACAACACAAACTGCAACACCTGCTTAAATAGGATAATGTCACAAACCTCCGCGCTGCATGTAAACGCGCACTGACGACTGTCGCTGCATTACAGACGCGAAGATTTCCCGAAGACTGGAGTCGCGCGCCACTGCTGTAGCATCACGCCTGCTGAGATTGAGAGAGAGAGTTCAGCATCATTCAGTCCGGACCCGCGGAAGATGATCAGCCCAGCGGTGCGGCGTTGTCGTGGGTGAGAGAGAGCTTACCGGACCGGTGCTTTCGTCTTCCGCATCCCGAGCATGTCGTCCCCGTCGCCGGTGCAGATCAGAGAGGCGAACGCACACCTGGCGGCGCTGCACAGGAGGGTCACAGACCTGGAGCAGAGGCTGGAGGACGCGGAGAAAACCGTGCGGGAGCAGGCGGAGAGCCTCATCCGCAAAGATGAGCAACTGAGAGCTACCACGCAAGAAATCACGGAGGCCAAGGACAAGTAGGGGAAAGAATATATTTACTTCCTTAAAGGGATAGTTCATCCAAGAATGTAAATTCTGTCATTAATTACTCACCCTCATGTCGTTCCGAATCTGTAAGACACAATAAATTAAGATATTTTTGATGAAATCCGAGAGCTCTCTGACCCTTCATGACAGAAAAATGACAGAATTTTCATTTTTGTGTAAACTAACCCTTTAACACAATCGTATCTTGCTGTAGATGCCTAATAGTGCATTATTTGACGTCAAAACCATGTATATGCTAAATCAGAAAGCTCAATTAAGCGACTTTTACATTAAAAAAATATCCCTGAAATAAAACATAACAGATATTATTAGATATGCTGGTCTAAGAAAACACCTGGCAGCTCTTGACTGTTTAAAAAAACAAAATAGACAGCGGCTCACGCTTGTTAACCAATCAGAAAAAGAACTGGTAATGTTGTGAGGGGCGGGGCTACTTGTTTGTGCGATAAATGCTGGATGGACGGAGGACGGGTTACTGTTTCCAAACAAGTTTCCTCAATCACTCTGCTGTGTCCAAACAACTGATAAAAGCATCACAATAATCTACACCCAGTGTTGGGGAAAGTTACTTTTAAAAGTAATGCATTACAATATTACGTTACTCCCTAAAAAAGTAACTAATTATGTTACTTAGTTACTTTTTATGGAAAGTAATGCGTTATATTACTTTTGCGTTACTTTCGCGTTACTTTTTAAATATAAGCAGGGCTTGATTGTTTTTAATATAAGAAGTTCTATTTATAGCAAATATAAAAGCCCTTTCACACCAAAAAGTGTAATGAATAAACCTCAGGCTGAAGCAAAAGTAAATTCACGTCTGTACAGTAGAACGCAGGAGAAGAAACACTCTTCAGCAATAAAAAAACAAAGCACAATTGTTAGTTTCTCTAAAGTCATTTTTGCTTATTAGTATGGTTGAACTGGATCATCAAAGGTCAGCAGCAAAGATATTGGTTAATAAAATGGGATTAGATACATTTGTGTTATTTAACATATTGAATTATTGCAGGTTTGCGTCATATTCTGAGTTTGCATTTCACTGTTTTAATTCATTTTGATGAATACTAAATCTGTTTTTTGTGAGTGGGATGAATTAATGCACATTCACATTTAGTCTAGAACTACAGTAACATCAATGTTCACACAGCGCACACAACTCCTCTGCACTTCCGATTTCTCCCAATATGGGGACAGGAGA